GGGTTTTGTTAGGCTACACCACTTGTAGTGTAGAACCCTTAAAATGCTCAATATTTTTAGACATTTAGATACCCTTATCCTATAGTATAGTAACCTTTTGTTTAAGGGTATTTTAAGTATTTAGTCAAGGGTAAACTAGAAATTTTTAATAGAAACAAAATCATTTATTAACAATAGTGGACAATGATATTACCAATATTGATACATTAATTGTTTTTAACTACTAATAAAATGCCACTATTTTTTTTATAAAAATATCTATTTTACCCTTCTAAATGACAAAAAATGCCCCTATTTGAAAAATTTTGTATTATAATTCAAAGGTATTTTATACACGACCAAGTGGGATTACCCCACTAACTCATATGTAGAAAAGCCAAGGGTATTAAAAAAGCTGGGATTATCCCACTAGCTCATATGAACATATGAGCCCAACGACCCAGATTGAATCTAGGCCGATCTTACGATGACAGATGTTCGCTAGTGTTTGGATTTTATTCATTTTTTTACAAATCCAATTATTGCTTAAAATTTTAGGTATGTGTTCTTCATCAAGGCGCACCTAATAAAAATATAAAAAAATTTATTCGCAAAAACAAAATGACCAAAATACCTCCCAAAGCTTTTGGGGGTATTTTGGTCAATTTATTTCATTTAAAATATTTTTTTGATATTTTTCAAAGATTCATCTATTTTTTATAAACATACACCTAAAATTTTAAGTGATTTGGATTTGTAGAAAATAAAATAAAATTTAAACACTACCAAACATCTGTGACCGTCAGATCGACCTAAATTCAATATGGGCCGTTGGCCTCATATATTCATATGACCTAGTGGGCTAATCCCAGCTTTTTCCTATATATATATATAAACCTTCCAACAGTTGGGCAGCTATAATGAATAGTAATATAGGTGGAATCCCAGCCATCAAATCATCATCATGTGGTTCAGAATCTATATCCCTATATGAATTTTAATTTTTTTTCTATAAATCATTAAGATGAAATTTTGGGTATATATACCTAATACTATTTCACACTATATAAAAATATAAAAACATTATTTTCAATAATTTAAAATAACCAAATTATTCTCATTATTTTTCAGGGGTATTTCAGTCATTTTATATTTTAAGAAATATTTTTTATATATTTTTTAATTGTGCACGCTATCTTTTAGTACACACATTTAAAGTTTCATTATGATCCGATTTCTAAAAAAATATTAAAATTCATATAGTGATATGTATTTCGAACCACATGATGAAGATCTGACGGTTGGGATTCCACCTATATTACTATCAATTAGATTCTACCTAAAAATTTCACTAGAAGAGATCATTTTGATTTCCAAATATCTTCAAATTGATTATCTCGACATCAAGATGCATGGATATGAGAAAAAAATGGATTTCAAGGTTTGGAAATAGTATATTTTGTAATGCATTTTTTAGCCGTCAATTTTCAAGTTTTCATAGATCTATCGATTTACACTATTTTTGAAGCTTTAAACTTTATAAATAAAGATGAAAAATACATTTTAAGGCTATCACAAAGATTTTT